TGTAGCCTGTAGCTAGGTTCTAACCTCTCAGTAAGAGCATAAAAAAGGCTATATTCACAAGGTCGGACATATGTTACCAAAAAAATAGGGATTGTCTTGCATGCTATAGTTGAAAGCTCTCAACTCGGAGTAATAAGAGAAGACAATGAAGGAAAAAGAGAACAGACTCACAAAAATGAAGGGAAGTAGCAAAATGTGCAAGTGGAAGCAGAAATGCGGTACCTTATTTACCTCGGGAGTTCTTGAGTAAAATTTTCCTGACACTACTAGTGAAACCTATCATTCGCTTGCGAGTTGTCTCTAGAACTTGGTATTCTGAGCTTACTTCCCCTAGTTTTATCTCCACACACTTCTGCACAAGTAGTAATGAATTTTTTTTTGGTTAGGTTTTGTATTTCAAGTAGACAGTCTTTTGTTTTACTCTACGAAAATGAAAGTATCTGTAACCGCACAGAAATTGAATTTCCCTATAAGAGCATGGAAGACTATTTTTGCAATTAGCACGACTCCAATTTTCCCCCGTAAGATGTCGTGATTGCATCTAGTCTCTACGACTAGGAAAGCCTAACATTTAATAATAACTTGACATAAATAATTAACAAAAATACTAAAGCAAGTCTCATAAACTGATATAATCTTCTAAAATAGAATCTCAACAACACACGCATCCCAAAACCGGTGGAACTGAGTCATAAGCTCTATAGAGTAATACTAGAATATCTACTACATCACTGTCTGAATGAAAATACAACATGGATTAAAGATAAGGGAAGGTGACTCCGAGGCCTGCAGACGCCGAGCAAGTATACCTTGAAGCCTCCGATAAGCAGCTAACAATCGATCACTAACATCCGGCACGAGCAGATGTACCCGGATCTGCACAAAAAGATGTGCATAAGCGTAGTATGAGTACACCATAACGGTACCCAGTAAGTATCAAGCCTAACCTCGGTAGAATAGTGACGAGCCCAGGTCAAGACACCTACTTGGATATAATAAACAGAATGAAAACGTAATAACAAGAAGTAATGGAAAGCGGGGCAATAAGTGATATGAAGAAAGTTAATAACATAGACTAACGAAAGGATTGTAAGCATAGAGATAACATAAGGGTAGCAATTGAAAAAATCCACAATGTTCATATACGGACAATAACTGATAGAACAAGGAAGAGCAAAATAACAAGAAGGTACCGCCTCGTGTACAATAAGAATCACAACCAGGTACCGCCTCCTCGTGTATATCAAGAATCACAACCGAGGTACCGCCTCGTATTCATAATTCACAATCTCAATCATAATTTTTCCTTATAACGCCGCGTAAGCCTTACATTTAAATAGTTTTGAAAATATTTTTGCCTGAAATAGCGACACGCACTTTATCCCACCTTATGAAGCCGCATGGCTTCACGTAATTTCCTTATAAGAAACACGCACATAAGTCCCACCTTATGCCACTGCATGCACATTATTCCCTATCCTTATACCACCACATGCTCGTCAGTTTCACAGCACAATAACAACTCGCACCACAAGTGCTCATATACTACAACTTGCCAATAATCAACAATATCAATATTTTTACAATAATAGCCCATGGCTCAACCACAATGTGTACAATAATATCAACAAAAATAATAAATGTAAATTTCTCAACAAGAAGGATATCTCAACAAATAACAACTTCGCCTCAACGTGATAACGACATTCACAACTTCAATACCAATAACTCAACAATAAGAAAGATAATGTGTAACCACGATATTAAATAATAATAAATCATAATGAGAGAGATGACACATATCAATGACTTCAACTAATGGTAATCAATAATGAAAGAGATATCATGTACAATGACTTCAAATAATGATAAACGACAATGAAAGAGATAACAAGTATAATGACTTCAAATAATGATAATCAATAATGAAAGAGATAACATGTAACAATAAAAGGGGCAACAAGTTCAGCTAGAGCATGAGAGAAATTTATCAAGTAGGATATAGAACAAGTGTTAAACAAGTCATTTAAGGCATGTAAGGGTAGACTAACACAAGTAAGAATAAATTGACTATGAGAATTTAGAACATGATATGACAATTCAATTAAAGCATGAAAAGAGTCTAAGCAGCCTAAACCGGTCAAATACCATATATAATACGTGTATCGACTCGTCACCTTGCGTACACGGATTTCACATAGCATAAATGAATGAATCAATCCCAATCCTAAGTGGTAGTTCCCCCATACAAAGTTAGGCAAGATACTTACCTCAACTAGGACAATTCAACCCTTGGAAATAACTTTTTCCCTAAAATTCACCTCCACAAGGCTCAAATCTAACCAATATCGACTAAATATCGTCAAACAATGCAAGAGAAATCAATTACAATAGATAAAGCCATGATCTTTACACTTTTTCCAAGATGTCAACAAAAGTTAACTTGGGGCTCGCCCGGTCAAAACCCGGGTCTAATGGTAGATTCCGACTACCCATGACCCCACGAGTTTATATATATGATTAGTTTCAAAATCTTAGTCCAAATCGACTCTCAAAACTCAAATTCTTATTTTTCAAAAACTTGACAAAGTTTCACTTTGATTCACATAATTTTTATGTTAATATCTAAGATATTGATGGAATATGATTGGAAATAGATTAAAATCACTTACTCAAAGTTTGTAGATGAAAATTCCCTCTCCAAATCGCATCCTACCGACTAGGGTTCTAAAATCAGAGAATGTAAGATGAAATCCTGACTTTCAGTTCTTATGTTCAGATGCAGTTATCGCAATTGCGACATGGGTTCGCAATTGGGAACCCTTGCAATTGAGAAGAAAACTTTGATTGCGGCACTGACAGGCTTGGGGAACTTCTCGCAGATGCGAATATGGGTTCGCAATTGTGAACCCTGTTCCTCTCGCAAAAGGGACAAATTTGTTGCAAATGCAAACCTAACCTAACCCCAAGCAACATCGCAAACGCGACCCAGGCATCGCAATTGCGATACCTTTGGTTTCCCTATTAAGGTCGCAAATGCGACTCTGGTGTTCGCAAATGCGACACCAGAGGCACCAGACACCAGACTTTTCATTTTTCAATTCAAATCTTCCGAAACATGTCCGAAACTCATCTGAGCCCTCGAAGCTCCAAACCAAACATCCACACAAGTCTAAAAATATCATACGAACTCGCTCACGCGATCAAAACACAAAAATAATGTCTAGAACTACAAATCAAACACTAGAACACATGAATTTCAAAGTAAAGTTCAAGAATCTCTAGAATTACTATTGAACGTCCGAATCCTATCAAATAAACTCCGAATGATACCAAATTTTGCAGACAAGTTCTAAATAGCATAGCGAAGCTATTCCAAGTCCCAAAATCAAATTTCGAGCTTGATAACTAAAAGTCAACCTACGGTCAAACTTTTCAACTTCAAATTGCCAAATTTTGGCAAACAACACAAATCAATACGGACTTTCAAAATCAATTTCGGGCGTACGCCCAAGTCCGAAATCACGATACGAAGCTCTTGGAGCCATCAAACACCGTTCCGGGGTTATGTTCACAAAAGTCAAAGTTTGGTCATCATTTCTAACTTAAGCTTTTAAGTCAAGAATCAAAGGGTCCGAATCTACCCAAAAGCTTCCCGGAACAAAACTAGTCAATTCCGCAAGTCATAAAACCATAAACACCCATGTGTGAGGCATCAAAAAAAGGTAACGAGGCATAATTACACAAAACGATCGGTTGGGTCGTTACAACGATGTAACAAGTTGTAATGGATTGTTGTTGCTTGCGGATGGTTTAGATAGCTATATTTGGAATCCTGCCATCAAAGGTGCCCGGAAACTCCCACCCCCAAACCTACATTGCTCTTACGGAGTTTATACTTTTGGATTTGGGTTGATCCCGTTACAGAGGTTTATATGGTGGTATTGATTTCTTGCCCTCCTGGCCGCCAACCCCCCCCCCCCCCCAAATCTCGGTGTTGCACATTTCATGATAATCAATTATATTGTAATGGGGCTGCCCATTGGATTGTTGAAAATCGGGCAGCTGGAAGAAAAATCAATATGATTTACTTTTTTCACATGCATGATGAAAAGTATATGGAGATGAGTTTGCCTCCAACTCTAGTTGACAATTTTGTGGATCAAAAGTATATGTTTATGAACCTCTATGTGTCGGGGGAGTCATTGCACGTGATTGGTAGTGCTTTTATTTTTAACAATGTTATGGAAGTTTGGAAGATGACAAAGTATAGTGACTCAAAGTCATGGCTACATCGGTTCTCCATCGCCGATTATCATATTCAAGGTAATGTGGATCATCTCTTTGATAGACCACTACCATTAGGAAAACGGGAGAGCTTTTGTGGTCAACGAGCCACGGATTATTGATTCAATATGACCATGCACATGAAGTTGAAAAGAGCACACACTACAACATTATGTATTTATAGCTATGAAATATGTTGTAGCTAAATATATAAATTTCCGTAGCTAAACACTCTAGCCACAAAAGAAGTTCCGTAGCATTCGTAGCAAGAAGTAGCGTAACTAAAAGTTAACTACAAACTTTACATGTTCATGGCTAAGAACTAATACTTATTGCTACGAAAAAAATTGTATTGTAGCTGTAATGATAAAATACCTTGCCACGGGAAATATACTTGTAGCAAGTGCGTTAATTTTTTGTGCCACGATGATAAAATTTGTAGCTATCTTTGTAGCAAGATTTGATTTGTTTGCCATGAAAATTTAAATTTTATAGCTTTCTCTTGTGGCAATAGTACTTGTATTTAGCTACGAGTTCCACAATTCATAGCTATGAATTAAAGTATTTGCCACAAATATTTTCTTATGTAGCTAAAGATCTAATTTTTTTGCCATGAAATATATATAATTATAGCTAAATATATTTTTCGTTTGCTACGAAAACTGAAATTATATAATCATATTTTCGTGGCAATTATAGATACATTTAGTTGCTAATTTAATAATTTTATTGCTATAAACAGAAAAATCTTTCACATGATTTGTTAGTACAAGAATATTTGTAGTGTAGCTAAGAATACATATTTTTCAGATTCCAAATAAGTTACAACTGATACATAATTGTATTTTGAAATTTCAAAACATTTAGAGTACATAATTGATCTATGCCACCAACTATAGTACTAATATCTTGCTTGAGACTCAATGCTGTACGATCTTCTCCTTTAAATTGATCTATGCCACCAACTATAGTACTAATATCTTGCTTGAGACTCAATGCTGTACGATCTTCTCCTTTAAATTTTGATCTATGCCACCAACTATAGTACTAATATCTTGCTTGAGACTCAATGCTGTACGATCTTCTCCTTTAAATTGATCTACGCCACCAACTATAGTACTAATATCTTGCTTGAGACTCAATGCTGTACGATCTTCTCCTTTAAATTGATCTATGCCACCAACTATAGTACTAATATCTTGCTTGAGACTCAATGCTGTACGATCTTCTCCTTTAAATTGATCTATGCCACCAACTATAGTACTAATATCTTGCTTGAGACTCAATGCCGCACGATCTTCTCCTCTCTTTCCTGTCGTTATGTTCATTCAACATCTCTTAGCTTGTTAATGAAGCTCTACTAATTCCACATATTTGCCTGTCAATTTTGATAAAGAAAATCAAAGCCAGCTGGATACAAACTGATCAAACATATATTTTTAACAGGTACAACTAATTATATATTTTATAGAAAAGCATTACAGATTAATTTCCCATGAAAAATTTTCATATATTTCTCTAATAGTTTAATTAGTATTATCTTTACAAATATCTTTGTAACATGCTTCGTATGACCAATTTTATGAGATAATGAAACTCTCAATAAGCTTAAAATTAAAGGAGCAGCAAAATTCCAGAATAATTTAATCTTTTGCACTAAAATGTTCTTTCAACAAAATCACAATGAAAAAACAAGTATGTAAACCTACTTTATTATTTTATGTAAGAATTATAGATCCACACAACAAAAAGACCCAAAGACATTAAAATGAACAACAACATATCTAAGTAACAAAAATTAACATGAATAACAAGATACCTAAGTAATAACCAGAGCGTTCATTCAATTCAATCGAATATTTAGTATGGTTCTTTGAAATAGGCTGCATAATGACAATAGCTTATGAATCAACCACAACTAGCAAACATTTATTTATTAGCTTCACCAATTTTTGACAAGCATGAACGAGAAAAGGCACAAATCACACATGTACTGCATTTTCGATTGAACTTAACAAATTTTTTCAGAAAAAAACACAAAATATAAAGATAAAAGATCTCATTCAAAGAGAGAACCCATATACATTACAATTAATTCCTTACTTAGATTCCAACATAGTCAATACTGATTCATTATAATTAACTAATATTGTTGTTTTACACAATTAAGACAAATTAAATCGACGTAGAGGGGAAAAAAGACAAATAGAATATGAAAAAGATACTGGAACGCAAGAAATTACCTAAATAAGATTGATAAAGACAAAGACAAACGGAGATGGAGAAGAGAAGGGCGGCGGCTGGAGCTAGAAAGAAGGGCTAGGTTTGGGGTTTTTACTTGGCCAATTGTCTTCCGTTCTCGTTTTATATCCTTTACATTCTTTTACCTTTTTTAACTTTTACATACAAATACCATTAATAAATATAAATAGATGTAGAAACAACTATGGCTTAATAAAAAAAAGACCTTAAAAACAACAACAAATATATGTCATTAACATTAACCAGAATAAAATAAGTTATTATTCCCGTGAAAAAATAATATTCCGGATATATAAAAAGAAAATATCAAAAAAAAAATAAAATATTTAGCAACAAAGATTAAGTCTACTAGCTTAGTGATGACTATAATTGCATAATTATTTAAAGTATAACTATAACTCACATGTAGTAATATTTTTCTGATATTGAATTATGATATTATTATTTTTTGTCATATGCTCATATTTGAATTTTATTACATTTTTAATTTTTAATGTTTCTTTAGATTTATTGTAACTATTAAGTCATTAAAATTGTAATGGATCAACATCAATAGCTTTTTATGCTTATTTATATTGAATATAATTAGTTATCAATATTATTACACATATGAACATATTTGTTTAAATGTGAGATAAATTAATTAAGTAGATCACATAGTTAGTTAAATTATATTAAAACTTACAAGTAATAATTTATTAATATACAATTATAAAATTTTAGTTAGTTGAATCATATACTTTAATATCAAACATATTAAATTCTTATTTTTTAAAATAAAACTTTATAGTCACAAGAGAGATGAAACATGATCTAGTATGCGAACCATGTTAAACTCAACTAATTCGATAGATAATGAGTTTTATGATAATTAATAAATTATTAGATTATTGAAGGACCAAATCTATATGGCTTTTGTTTATTTCATCTTGATTATATATACAATGCAATGGATACAAGCTTATAGTTGTATAAATTCGATATAATTAGTTATTTACACATCAAATTAGATATATTCAATTGTGCTTTATAAATATAATTCAAACCTATAAGTAATACTTATTTTGTAAGAATTGCAATATTGTTATTTTTGTTATGGACTTAAATATTAACCATGTTATAATCTTAAGTTGATATAATTAGAAAAACTTAGTTTTTGAAAGACTAATATGAACATTAGTACTTATTTCAAAAATAAGCGCTTTGATATATGAAATTACTTTAAGTACTTATTTAAAATAATTAAGCACCACACATACATGCATATCTCTACAAACTGTTAAAGTCTTCTATATGAGTACTTATTTTTAAAATAAGTGCTTAAATATAATAAATTATGCTAAATNCTTATTTAAAATAATAAAGGACCAAATATGCATAAAATAAAGTATGAACTTAATAAGTCAAGAAGCTAGTTGATAAGCATTGATGCCAAATGCACTTACTAACTTTTCTACATTGCAACAAAAATCTAACTTTTATATTTAAAATTCATTTTCGGAAAACTTCTCTAATTTTTGGATAAACTCTTATATTGATAATTTTGTAATCAAACCAAAATATTCATTTAACTATGAAAATTTTTAACAACTAACTTATTATTGTAAATAATACATATATGGTAACTTCAAGCACATGACAAAAATTATAACTACTTGCGGAAGTTTACTGTCTCTCTGAATCTTGTGGCTATATCATCTATCATAACAAATACTTGCAGCTAATAAGCCAACGATGTTTTCGATTTCTTATAACTTGAATTTTAAAATAGTTTTTAAATTTAATATTTATTTCAAATCATTATTGTGGCTAACATGTTATAACCGCAGTAACATCAAACACGTGGCAAAAACTTATATTTAGCTACAAAATTTTATTGTTTCAGAATAAGTTTGTAGCTATTAAGTTAGCTTTTGCCACAAACTTTTATAATTGAAGTAGAAATACCTATTCAGCTACAATATTTTGTATCGAGTAATATTTTGTGACTAAAAGATTAATACTGCTACAGTAATTTCAGACGTGTGGCAAAAACTCATAATTAGCTACAAAATATGGTTGTAGCAATAATTTTTTATATTTATTAACCCAATTATTGCCACATGCTTTTATAACTTGAGGCAAAAATATCTATTTAGCTATAACATTTTGTTAGAAGTAATTTTTTTGTGGCTATAAAGTTGTTATAGCTACAGTAACTTCAAATGCGTGGCAAAAAAATACGATTAGCTACAAAATTTAATTGTAGCAATAAATTTATAGCTATTTGGGTAATTATTGCCACGATAGTTAGCACTTATAGCAAAAATATTAAATTAGCTTTGCTAATTTAATTTTGTAGCTAACTATCTTTATGAAATTGTAAATAGCCATGAAAATTTAATTTTTGTGGCTATTGTTAGGTATTAGCCACGATTTTCATATATGTAGCTAAGAATTTGTAGCTATATATACATAATGTTGTAGTGACAGGTGGCTTTAGGAACACCACAGAGTCCGACTTTCGTGTTGCACCTATAATTAATACTTTTTAAATAAAGCCATGTGTTGCTTGACCAATGACCAGTATTCGGAGAAGACACTTCTGAATCTATAAAGGCCTCATATATTGCCCACATGTAACGACCCGGCCGGTCGTTTAGAGTATTTTAACCTGATCCCCTAAATTACGCTTTCTCTATTCCATATCGTGATTTTTTAACTTGTCGGGTTGTTCGATTTTGGTTTCGGAGTGAGATGAGACACAGTCTCCAAGTTGAAGTTTTAATTATAAGAGTTGATCGTAGTTTGAATTTTGAGTAGACGACCCCAAAATTTAGTTTTTGATGATTCCAATAGCTCCGTATGGTAATTTTAGACTTAGGATCGCGACCGAATGTTGATTTGGAGGTCCGAAGGTCATTTCGACGTAAATTGGCGAAAGTTGGAAAATAGAAGAATTTTTGGAAAGTTTGACCGCGAGTTGACTTTATTGATATCGGGGTCGAAATTCGATTCTGAAAATTGAAACAACTCCATTATGTCATTTATGACTTGTGTGTAAAATTTGAAGTCATTCCGGATTAATTTGATACGTTTCGGCACGAGTTTTGTAAGTTGGAAAGTTTGAAAATTCATAAGTGCGATTCGAGGTTTGACGTTGTTTGATATAATTTGATACCCCGAGCAGGTCCGTGTTATGTTACAGGACTTATTGGTATATTCGGACAAAGTCCCGAGTGGCTCGGATGAGTTTCGGACGAGGATAGGATAGTTTGGAACCTTGTTGAAACAACTGGAATTTTTGGTTGCTAGTGTCTTCGCACCTGCATGAGGGACCGCAGGTGTGTGCTCGTAGAAGCGTGAAACTGGTCGCAGAAGCGACCTGGGAAGGCTGGCTGGGGAGATCGTAGAAGCGGAAGAAAATGCACACCTGCGAGACCGCAGGTGCGGTACCTGGAACGCAGAAGCGAGAAGCTTCGCAGATGCGCATTTGGCCATTGCACCTGCGATTGCGCAGAAGTCAACGAAATTTCGCAGGTGCAATGGGTCGACTGGGCAGTGGAATTTTGCAAATGCGATATTTGTCTCGCAAAAGCGAGACCGCACGTGCGAAATTGGGCAGAAACATAAAGGATCGAACTTGGTCATTTTCTTCATTTCGTTTTGAATTTTTAGAGCTCGATTTTGGGCGATTCTGGAGGGATTTTTCACATGTTCGTCTTGGGTAAGTGTTCTATATCCAAAAGTGATTATATTTCATAATTCCATGGTTATATTCATCAATTATTAGTGAATATAATGGAAGAAATTGAGAAAATTTGTGAAATCTTCCAAAAATGCAAAATGGAGATTTGGAGGACGATTCGTTATCGGAATTTGATTTTTTTTGGTATGGTTGGACTGTCGTTGAATGAGGGTCCGGATTTCGTAACTTTTGTAAATTCGTGACGTGTGCCCCACGTTGACATTCCGAGTTGACTTTTTAATCTCTTTATAAATATGGTATGTTTATCGTTTGAATTAGTTTCTATAGTTATATTTATCGTATGAAATTGTTTTGGCTAGATTCAAGCCATTCAGAGTTGGATAATCGAGGAAAAGGCCTACTATTGGATTGAGAAAACACGATTGAGGTAAGTGGCTAGTCTAACCTTGTGTGGGGAAAATTCCCCTTTGGATTGGTATTGTTATGATAATTGTGATGTATTGAAAGCCGTGTACGCGAAGTGACGAGTGTGTATAAGGGCTAAATATTAAAAATCCTCTTTAATTGTGTAGATCCCTGTCACGTATCAATTAAATTATTTTATCATATCATCATTATCCTATTTTCGCGTGTCCTACACGTCTTACCTTTTTCTTGCTACTTGCATTACCTGTTTAATTGAAGTTTTGTTCCCTTTTATTTCATGCTCATTATTTGAAAGTTGAATTTCTTACTTGAATTATTAGAATATGAAATATCCGATTACTTAAAATTGTATTAAGACAGAGTGTTAAATTGTGAAATATTATTTTGTTGAGTTGTTCACTCCCGGATATTTTTGCTGATATTTGTGTACATTGTGGTGGAGCCGTGAGATCCTTGTTGTGGAAAATAATGTTATTAATAATTTCCTGGCAAGTTGTAATATTTTGTCACTTGAGGTACAAATTGTGACATATTGTAATATTGACACGCATGCTGTGGTATAAGGTGTGGGTGTTGAAACGCATACGGTGAGATAAGGTGTGCTTGATACGCGTGGCTAGCAGGGGAACTACTAGAAGTCATACGGTGTGATAAGGTGGGCTAAAACGCGAGATGCTATTTCGGAAAAAAAGTATTTTTAAAACTAAATGTGAAGGCTCCCGCGACGATATAAGAAAAGATTGTGAATTTATTTATGATTTGGGACTACGAGGCGGTACCTCGGGAGTGCCCTTGTTGATATTTCTCTGTTGGTACACTTGTATTTGGTTGTTTTGTTCCAGGTCGTAATATTCTTTTTTTCTTCCTTGATGTATTATATGCCCTTATTCTGTGTAGCTAAATTGTGGCATAGTCCTTACTTGTTTCTTTCCATTGTCATTATTAATATATTTGT